AACCCTACAGTCCCCTGCCTGCGCCTGCCTCTGCCCGGCTGATCCAAATCTCTGAATCAGCGCTGAAACAATGTTGAAACTCCAAAATGGATTTGGCTGAATTGAAACAGAACAGTGATCTGAAATACCAAAACGAATCACTATCCCTCCAAAACGGCTGAATCTGAAATGGAAACAAAACATAGCCGTTTTGCACAGCCTTAATAAGCACATGTGTTAACACTGTTGAAACATGTGACTGTATTCACCACCTGTAGAGCCATGGTTCTCAACCTTTTTAAACTCAAGGAACCCCTTAGAAAATGCCAGCTCTTACTTTTCACTCTGTTTATGCCTATGGAAAACTAATAATCAGTTTTTCTGTTGCAGAGAACTCAAAGACCACAACTGTGGATTTCTATTTGAAATCTCTGGGTTTATCTTGTAAATCTTATTTGTGAATCACCCTTGAAAGAGCTTAAGGCATCCTAAGATGCTGTGGCACCTTGGTTGAGAATCACTGATATGGAGCATGTTTGATTAACATGCTTTTTTTAATAAACACTGAAGTTCTGATTCAGTGTAAACTATTATATTAAAAATATCAAAATGGAAATACTAACCAGCACAAATTCAAGCTGAAGAAATAGATTCGAAAACAATTTATGTATTTTTATTTTTTTTTAATATCTTTCCCAGGACATGAAGTTCATCTTCCGGGGGGGGCGTTGTTTTGTTTTGAATCATAATTTGGTCAGTGTGTTTCTCTTTCTGCAGGTTTTGTGTAGTGGGTTCCATATAAATAGTAAATAGTGGAGGCTTTTTGTGTAAGGCTTTTTTATGAGAAGGCTGGAGTTATCTGCAGAGGACTTTAGGGAAAAGAAAAATGTGTGAAATAATGTAGACTGGATCTTCCACAAAACACTTCTGGTTAAAAGCTTAACATCATTTTTATTAATAGTTCATATCCAGAACATTCCTGAGTGAAATAAAGACTTACCCAGGCCTTGTCCTGTATCGTTAGAAATGTGGACTAGAGCTCAGATGGTATTTGAAAAAACCCGAACAAACCAAACAAACACTGCAGGTATACTGCAGCTGACAAAAGTTGCATCCATTTATCTTAACTGAAGCTCTAGCTCAGAACAGTGAAAATGTGATAGAAATTGTCTATTATCTTGTTGCTAAGGAATGGATCAAGTAGCACCTTTGGTTTCAGTCAGTGTTTTGCAGGAAGCTTAAGTGGTTTGCATACACAACTGTCTCCTGTAACATCAAAATTGTTAAGATGCCAGGTTGTGGTATGGAAGGCTGTGTATAACTGGGACTTCAGAGTTGTTGTGTCACATAGCCCAGGCACTAGGCCGCACCTTTGGAGTTTACCAAGTGTACAGTGAGCTGTGCATCATTTTTTGGATCATAAATCATGCACTAAACAGGGACACATGCCACATGCCATTGTTGTCGTACAGGGAGAGCAGGCTTTCAGAGGAGTCTGTTCTTCTTCCAGGTCCAATGCTTACATGGAGGGAACACGGGGACGTTTTTTCATTTATTTGAAAGAAACATTTGAGATTTTTATGGAGAAATGAACAGTGTAAACAACCTTCAAAAAGATAAACAAACCTGCTTTGGAAAGAACGAGTGCAAAGATGATAAATGCTGCATTGTAATCTGGTCTTGGTTCATGAGAGGTGGGTAGAAAAACAAAGGGGAGAACTTAATTCATTTTACCAGAAACCTTCATGTCTCTGCCTTTGTCTTCACTATACACCTGGTGATGAATCAAGGGGTGGCTGGAGACATTATTTAACTCTTCTCTGTGTTTTGTTTTGTGTCTTTTGTTGGTTTGTTTATCGTTTCTAAAGCAAGTATACCCCCCTTTGTGGCAATGAAAAAAGAAAGCAAGCGTTTTTACTCTTTTGAAGACAGGTGGAGAGAAATCCCCACACTGAGTGCTGTATAGTACTCCTTCCCTTTTGTTTGTCTTTACTAATTAGTTAGAATGGATGGTATTAAGTTCCAGTGACTATGGGTGTTAGAATTCCTGCGTATCCTGCCTCAGGGAATTATACTCTGGAAAATTAAGTATCCATCAAAGCAGGAGGTGGCTTGTACAGTTTGTATCTCAGCTTCTTCTTTCTTTCTTTTTCTCTCTCTCTCTCTCTCTCTCTCTTTTTTTTTAAAGGCTTAAGAAAAGAGCCTTTTGTCTTCTTTTCAGGAAAGTTACACTGAAATTCATCTGTGCTTTATTCATCTGCCTTCATTTCTGCCATTCATGGGCAGCTGTGGGTTATTTAGGACAAAGCTGATGAATTCCTAACCTCCGTGTTCAAAACAGCATATTGGGAAAGGTTCAAGACCTTTTTTTTAGTACTCTAGTTAGTGTGCTGAGATCTTTCTCCCCTTCCCCTCCACTATCTCTAGATTGAATGTATGTCTTACTGTTTAATGGCATTTAAGTTTCTGTTGGATTCCTTCAGACTCATGTGTCTGGATATAAAATACACGGACATTTTTTCTCACTATGGCCAAGCTGCAGAAATAACTTCCAAGACAATCTGGTTGAAGATTCATTTTCATGGTGTTTATTAATAAATACCATTTTTTCGAATGATGACTCAGTTTTAGACATCAGCTGCTAGAAAAATGTGTCTTCATTTTATATTTTTTGAAAATTTGAAATAATTTGGAATGTGAGGATTGGGACATGTAAAATTTGTAGGCTTTTGATGTGGTTTGCTTAAATAATTCCATGAATTTCAGGGGAAATACCATATCTTCCTTTTTTTTTTTTTTTGGTAGGTTACTCTCATACATCCTGTGTCCGATTAGGCTGGTGTAAATCGGCATAAGCCAGTGGAGAAGCTCTCATTTGATTTGTCATATGTATAACAAGAATGCTTCTATTGCACTGATTTGTATTACTTGAGCCTTGCATTACAGATGCCTTGAAATCAGGCTCCTTTTTAAGCTTAAACCTGGAACTCCAAAATCAGACTAAAAGCCCTCATTTCATGCACCTACCTTTAATTCAGAATATAAAATTAATTTATAGTTAATCAAGTATCCTTCTTCATCCCCCACCTACACCATTTCTGAGAATGGAGGGCTTCGTATTTTTAGGCTTCCTCGAGCTCCCTTTGTAGTTAACAGAAGCTGGATCAGTTCTCTTTTGTAACTACCCCTTTCTTTCTTCACAGATTCTTCATACTCAGAACCTCCTGATGTTCAGCAGCAGTTGAACCACTACCAGTCAGCAGCTCTGGCCAGGAACAACAACAACGTTAGCCCTGTACCACTTTCAGGGACTGGGGAGAAAACAGAAGTCATCCTTAACTGTGAATTTTGTGAATTCTCCTCGGGTTACATTCAAAGCATTAGGCGTCATTACCGTGACAAACATGGAGGGAAGAAGCTCTTCAAGTGCAAAGATTGTTCCTTTTATACAGGCTTTAAGTAAGTTCTTTGCAAAACAGATGAACTGAACTCACTTTTAAACAGTTCTTTAAAAGGCAGGCACTTTAGCTCCTGAGATCTCTGGGGGCTGACTGTAGCAGAAGGAAGCAGAGCCCAAGGAGACCCGGGAGAGAAAATAGAAACAGCCACCCCAGGTCACACCAGGGTTCATGTAATCCATTTTCCTGTCTGTGACTCCAGCTTGTATCATCGACTACAGAAGAAAGTGTAAGAAGTCCTTGTAGTAGATTCTAACAAAATAGTCTCTGTACAAGAAATTAATCTTGCTCTCCATCATCATTAGTGAGAGGCTAGTTTGTGCGATAAAGAACAAGGATTTATATCATGCCTAAAACTGTTGGGATAGCTTTTCTAGGAAGCTCAAAACCAGCTTGAGGCATGAGAAGGGCAAATGTCTAGTGAGGTAGCAAATTTCCCATTGACTAAAGAAATCTCTACCCATGGGACTTTATATTCTGCTCCCCTTTAACCATCCAGCTGAAACAGCAGAAATGAAAGGCATTCCCATAAGTATTTGATGGCATATTGGAATATTTCACCCAGTCAATTAAACTTCCCAAACCAAAGGAAAAAAAACTTATTTCCAGGAGTGCGTCTCTTTCCGTTGCACCCCAGTTCCTGATTACTGTTTATCACAGGTCTTATGCTGTTGCGCTTCCCCATAGTGTCAGTGCAACTCTTGTTCACATTTTCTTCTCCATCTAGTACTACTGGTGGCAGCCAAGCAATCTTAAATTAAGATGAGGCTAACTTTGACAGTTGTGGCATTCTTTTATGTGGTATGTCAGTCTTTTGTGGATGAGGTAGCAAAGCTCTCAGAATATCCCATCCTCCGCTCATTAGAGAGTGAAGAACATGTATTGAAGTCAATGAAAAAGTACCTATTGACTCCAGTGGCTATTGGATCCAGCCCAAAAGCCAGCAGAGTTCGTACATTCCTTTGCTCTCAAGCTAACCCGCTAGTGGAGCTTGAAAGGGATCCATAAATTCCTTAATCAAAGGCTAAGCAGCCTGTTTCATTCACTAATTGCACCTCTTCCTAAGCCAAAATTATTGAGCCCCTTTAGTTTACAAACTCCTCTCATTTCAGTAGCTGAGCTTCTAGCCAGGTTAGGTGCGTAGTTAGTGTCCAGTGCACGCTGATGCCCTGCATCAGTGTTTGTAAGCATGTGACTATGGTGGTATCATGAAATCTGTTTGTAGAGTTACTGGGCATTCATGGAGTTTTTAGACCAGCATTTCCAAACTTACATGACTGTTGTTTTAACTATGATTTGTTTTTAATTTTGGGGGACACTTTTTTTTTTTTTTTAATTATAAGGCACTTATTGCTAACTAAAGTCCATTTACATAGCAGATGTGGATGACAGAATTTCAGCTGCTTTTGAGTTAATCCCACAAAGGAAAGGTACTATCAGAGTTAGGTCTGTCTTCACCCTTGTATCTACAGAACAGCCAAAGGGATGTTTCTTAAGCTTTCCAAAAACATCTCATTTTTGGCTGAGACAGAACATGGAAGATTTCAGCCCAAAGACATTTTTAAATAACCCGCATGGGGAATGAAAATTGTTTTTCTGTCTTCCATATAGCACTAAGACATGTAAAATAATGTTTTGGCCCATATGTGGTGGCTACATAAAGGTACATATCTATACACATGAAAATTGCATAAGTAGTCCCACTAAAGTAGCATGTGGCCTTATAGAGACAGGAGTGAGTAGCCTCTGCAGTATTTAAATAATAGCTCTGTAGGAAAGCTATAATACTACAAGTGTGCAAAACTACAAAATCACTAAGTTACCACTTCTTCCTTTCTTACAGATCTGCTTTTACTATGCACGTGGAAGCTGGGCATTCAGCAGTTCCTGAGGAAGGACCCAAAGACCTCCGCTGTCCTCTCTGCCTCTACCACACCAAATACAAACGTAACATGATTGACCACATAGTTCTGCACAGAGGTAAAGTCCTTTATGGTATTTGTTTTTTTGACAAAGAGCTGACTAAGCAATAACCTTTTCTTTCAGACTGGTGAAACGAAGCTCTTTTTCTTCCAAATGTGAGCATTAAAACACAGAATAGGCCAGCAGACCTTGTGCCTTTTTTTAATGATACATTTTGTTTCTGTCCAATGAAATACAGCAGATTAGACTGAAGTTGAAACGGGTATGATTGGAAAGTGCTGTTTAAAATTTCTGCTCAGAAGGTTTGCAGTCATCAGGCACCTGTTCAGCAAGAGCTACACTACCCCACTGTTCTGTAGAACAGAGAGGGTAGCACTTACTGACCCCTGAGCATTTTTTTTCTCTCACTGCATATGTATTTCTAAGATACCTACTGGTATTTCTGTGTTGCGTATCTTCTCTGTACAATGTTAAAGGATAAATCACTTCTCCCAATTCTGTTCCTTATCCTTGAGGCTCAAGAAGAGCCTCAACTACCTGTTTTCACCCCGATGCATCACCTGTTATTAGAGCCAAAACAAAAAATATCCAATTTTTATGACTTCTGTAAACTAACTGAGAGCTGGGTTAGAGATTTTTATATTCTATTAACCACAGGCATGCAAGCTCAGAAGAGACAGCTGTTTGGACTCCCTGGGCTGGGATTCCTGCCCACAGCCATCACACTTGATGCTTATAGATGGTCTGTTGGCTGCCTAGCTCCAAACCCATGTGTTAGGATGGCACTCTGCCTAGCTTGCAGGTTGGGCAGCATCTCGCAGTGGGTTATTGCTGGTGAGCAAACACAAGTTTTCATATGCCATCTTTTCCTGGAGGAGATCCTTGTGTGACAGCACTGTCATGCTACATTGTAGCATGCCACTTTCATCCGCCAGTTGCTTTAGTTCCTCTCTATACCTGAGCAGCGAAGTAGACAGAGCTCATATGTATTTCTGACTGTTGGAAAGACTATACTGAAGGAGCATTTGGGGAAGTCGTAAAGACCTTTCTGGGATTCAGAAGGTGTTTAATACAACCACCTCACTGAGTATCAGAAAAGCTAGGCAGACGGTGACAGTGCTCAGCTTGTCTTCCCAGGGTGTTATAGCACAAGGCATACAGAGCCTGTCAGTCTTCAGGGCATGCCATAGGGGTTACTTGTCTTATCAGAAGAGATGGTTTGGAATGGTGCATGTCAGCTTGTTGAGGGGCTGTCTATATAGAGTTCTGGCCCAGTGAGCAGATGAAAATAATTCATCATTC